AATACTGATTAACGAGAGTAATTATAATAAGAGAAGAGTCCATGAAATGATACAGATTAAAAAACATAACAATGCTATGAATTTCAGATCGGATATCGACAATCTTAGCTCAGTATATCATATATTAATTAAATGAAATAAACATAAAATATTAACTAACACCCGATATACTGAAGAATTTTGCAAACCAAAAATAATATTCTCAGAATGCAAAGAAATATAGCTGAAAGTAAAAGAAATCAATATAAACATGTATTTTATTCGCTTTGTGTTCAATAATGGACAAAATTAATACTTCAAATGCATGCCAAGGCTTAAAGCAGCAACAACGCTACACATGTAAGTAAAAATTTTTAAGTACTGAACGAATAATTCTAGTCTCTTCCCAGATTTGATTGTCCTGACTAATCACCTGTTAGGCCTCATTAATTTTAGAATGTTTTAAAGTATTGAAATTGTGATGTATTTTAATGTGTGATATGATGAGGCTGTTGACGAACTATGGTTGTTTTTTAAATTAATGAAATTTTTTTAACTATCTGTTATTTTAGAAAAACTGATGATGGTGGAAAAATACACCGAAACGTATTTTAATTGATAAATAGAGACAATAAATGACAAAAAAAAAATAAATGATGAAACCCAGGAATTAATTTTGATTTGGAATTAAAACACTGTCAGGAAAGTATGTACACTAATTTTTATGTCGAAAATCGTTCGTCAAAGAACCTTTTTGCATGCATAAACTAAAAACTAAAACCATTATACCTCTTTTAGTACAAAAAAATTACGCGAAAAATAAAATGATAGATTTCGAATAATGGAATAAGTACATGATGCCTATTTAGTAGGCCTGGGTTGGTGCGCCAACTCAACGCACCTGCGCTCAAGTTTCACTCAATTTTTTTTTTCACTCAAATTTCACAAAAATTTCACTCACTCTTTTTTCACAAAATCGCTAAATTCCGAGCGTTTACACAAGTAGCGAACATTTCATTTCAGGATCATCCAATGTCCCGTTTCCGCATACGTGTGAGATATCATCAACCTTGAGCCACCTTGTATGTATTTCGCCAAATATGTGCATTTACTAATACTATTTTAGAAGTTGTATAATCATCTTCCTACATAAATGTCCTTGAATCAAATGTATGTGACCCAATTTAAATCAGCCCAATTAATAGAACAATGCGAAAGGCAGCATCCAAGTTCAAATCCTAACATATAAATACTGTGATAAAACCGTCTTATCAAGAAATGTATGTTCTTTGAGTGATTAGATGCCTTAGAACGACCACGAGCAATGTTATTGTTAGTTCGAGCTTTCTTAGTAGAGTGTCTACCGCAGGTGAATGTAAAGGACAAATACAAGTAAAGGCAAGGACGAGATAGACGAGATCTCTTCATAATTCGGTTACAAGAAAAATTAATATTTGCGAATTTGCATGGCATTCATCATATGAAGGTTTCCGAGCATGGATATTTGCATTTAAAGTAAATCCGGCAGAATTATTAAAAATGGACCTACCGCAATCAAAGCTTTTTGCGTTGACGGCGCTGGGAATGAGCAGCATATTAGTGGGTAAGTTAAACATAGATATACTATTGCCTAGTAGATTTTTCAGATTACTGCGTAAAATAACCAGCTGTATGCTTGCTCTATTGTAATTTAAACAGTTGTAACAAATAAACTTTGTGAAATTGTAGGTCTGTTACCAGGATGTTTTACCAAACAATCCAGAACACAGTGGCCTCTATTTCTAAGCTGCCTGCTCTGTTTCGGGGGAGGCGTGTTGCTCTGTACATCGCTAGCGCATATTTTGCCTGAAGCCCGAGAAGCAGCTGCAGCGAACTACAAAAAGTACACGGAACTGATTTTCTGTCTAGGATTTTTCATTTTATATCTAATGGACGAAATCGTACATTATTTTTACGGTGAAATTGCCGGTCATAATCATAATCATGAGGATGGACATCTCCCTCATATTGACGAAGGAAGTCGTTTACCGGAAAGGTAAGGATATGAAACAAATTTTTGTTTTCAATTCAAGGCTTTCTTTTAAATTAATCCAATTGTTTATCAAGACATGCGAATTAAACGTTGTATTTTTGCAAAGGATTTTTGAAGTGATAACTTTTTATGGAAGGGTGAACCGATTTTTCTCGGTCACGGCGGCTCCCACTTCGGCCTCTTCGCGCCTGAGGCTTGGGACGCACAAATGCACTTTGAATTCGACGTTTTTCTCTTAGTGCGGGTGCATCTGTAGATCTGATAAACTTTTCAAATACAAATTGCGTTATTAAACTAGCGGTGCTTTTGATATATCAATTATTGAGTATGATTGTGTTGTGTTTGGTGCAGTTTATTTTGTAACGCTGATAACAATAAATCAACAATTTAACAATGGAGAAGCTGCAGATACTGCAAATACTAAGTAAGGGTGCTCATGTACTATATGCATGTTCGAGTTTCGCGTTCTTTTTAATTTTCAATTAAAGTACACACACAATTATACACACTAAAGCAGTTTAAGTGCATGAAAATGCGGATCGTCCATAAATTTGCAGAAAAATGTATTACAAACTTTTGAAAATAATGTTCAAGCGACCGGGTATTTATCATTGCAAATGAGATTGCCCGTTGCCGTGTACCGATAATTCGACACTCAAAATTGTGCCTAAGATCCACTACAATAAAGTTTTTGAAAAACTGTTGGACCTTATTTAAATCGCCTGATTGATTGCGGACGCAAATTCGTATCAAGAAAAGATTAAATTAAATTAAATCGTATCGATAGAATCCCG